ATCATCTCTCCAAACGGTCAGTTAACTGAGTTCACCATAGAGTTCACTATATAGTTCCCGCTCTATATAGTGATTGAGAGATTTAGGGGTTATGATGGACTTTCAGGTACTGTCAGCTTGTATGAGCTATGAGAACAGCAACTTTTAAACAGGGTGTGCACGAGGAGAAATGGGCTCTTGCACACTTTCCCTATCGGGAGTGAGTCCAGGGTTGTGCATGTGTATTTTTTTTTAAGTGGAGAGGGTGGGTCTTAAGAAATCTGTGAAAACCCTCCACTACACCTTTAAGTAGCTTCTACTTAAAGGTGTAGGTCTACTTCTACTTACTAGGAACTGCTCTTTATACCTCTTTAAACCTGAAATATATAGAGCAGTTTATTATTAACAAATCATTCAGCACATATGTTTGTGTTTTTTTTTTATATAATTGTCTCTGAAACTTGTTTTTAAAATACATATTCTGTGGTTCCTTGAGACATCCTCCTGGAATTGTGAATATCAGATTTATTTTTCGTCTTAACAACGCATCTGGCTTTGATCATTTAAGCTACAACCGTCAAAGAGGTTATTTTGACCCTGCTATGTTAGTAGGTCATATGATAATATTCGCATTAGTAGAGTAAATAATCACAGAGAACGGCTCAGGTTTTATTTATACTATGATCGTGTATCATGATAAAGTGAATGAAAATAAAAAAAGTTAAATAATAATGTCAAATCTGACATATATATACATCTATAGCTTTTCCTCACCACTGCAGTTATTATAAACGACAGTTGCTGCTGCTGCTTTTAGCATAAAGGGCCCAGCATGTCGGAAAACAATGCTGCAAATAAAACTCAACAGAAACCGGACTATTTAATCCCGACCCTCTAAAGAAAACAACAGAAGATATTATTTCCTCCCTCGGAGCAGTGAAGCCATCATGTAGCAGCCTTTAGCAGGAGGGGCTGCCTCACCTCTTCGGAGACTCCTCCTCGGCTCCGTTTGCTTCACCTGATCAACAAACCGCCACCAACAGATGCATCATATCACATCTTCTCCATCAGTAAATCATTGTCAACCGAAAGGATCGCGTCTGAAAGCAACAGGATAAGTTAATAAAGACGCAGCGTTTGGGTTTACTACTGAAAAAAATCCCACTTTCTGGGCCAAACTGGAGATGTAGCGGTTTGAACTGTCCCTTAGCGATCACCTTCTTCTGTGGATTAACGCCACTGTCACCCTTCCTCTGTGACTTATTAGCGCCCCCTGTTGACTAGTGTGTTTCACTACAATATCTTTTTGTAAGAACAAATCATTAGAAAAGCAAATTTAAACAGTTAAAAGGCAATTCAAAAAACATACTGTTCCTTACGATGAGACTTGTTTGTCAGATTCAATTGAAAATTTAAAGAATAACAACATTTGAAAGAGAAGCAAATTAGATTAGTTGGGAAATTCAGTTGTACTGACAACTAAGTGACAAATAAAATAGAGGTATGCAGATTCACACAAAGGTAAAAATATAAAAAGTTAAATAAAACTAAGCAATAGTATATTAAGGCCAAAGTTACCACATAAGGAAAATAAAAATTGTGTTCAGTTATTTAAATGACCATAGTAGCATACATTATTATTATTATTTTATTATTATTATTATATTTTTTTTTTTACAAATTAGAATAATTGATGATTTAGATGAGCATCTTCAACATATATATGAAAAGTGCAAACAGTTTTAGAAATAGAACAGTACATGCATTCAAGTTAAATAAAGCTCTCTTTTATAAAACTGCAAATTTTAAACAACTTGACATGTTTTAAACATGCACCTTTTCATTCCAGTTGCACTTGTGGCAATTGTTGATTTCTAATTTTTATCACCTACCCAATTATAGCTTTTTTGCATTTTGAGACGGTCATCATTTAATTTTTGACAAAAAAGTAAAAGTAAGTAGAAAACTATAAGCGTCAAATGCTTGAACTAGGAATTATTGAGATTCAACAATTGTAGTCTGATTTGTTACATTTCTCATGTTGAAGGTTTTGTAGCAAACTTTTATAAAATCCTCCATACATACATATGTTCTCTGTTTTTCTGTTTATCTCTTCTAGTCGGGCAATGATCAATAAAAATACTCCCTTCTCTGATTTTCTGTAGCAGAGCTGTCTTAGTAATGTTTGCACACTTTTATGTCATATTTTAAAATTAAAGAAACATTTTCTTTATCTTAATAGGCCTCTGTGGACATTTTTTTTTTCTTGACATCGATACAGGCACCAATGGATATTTGTTCTTGATGGTGAAGGTTCTATTCAGACTGCTGTGAGAAAGTTGTGTTCTTTAAATAAAACCTGAATCTCTGCTACTCAATATTCCCTATAATCAGGGGCGGATCTAGAGGGGTATCCAGGGGGGCATGGTCACCCCTAACCAATAATTGGCTACCCCTGTGGCCACCTTGGATTTAACTCCATACCCTGGAACAAGCAGTTCTCCACTAAGTCTGATGGTGGCAGCAGTGATACCATCATGTGGAATCTCCTACTTTGACATTTTAACGCTGCTATATCTACCAAAAACTGAATATAAAAAAAATATATATTTACAATAATATACTGCAAATGTGCTGTAGACACATAGCAGTCTTTTCTAAAAATAAAGAACATCGCTCAACCCATTTAATGTATATATTATGTGGAAGCATAAATTCATTTAAACAGCGCTAATGTATAAATATGCACATAGCTTTATCTGCAAGGACCCTAACGAAAATATGCTCTGTCTTTAATTATTTATTTGTAAAATATAGGTTGTGCAAGTTCATTTTCTTGTTGGCTGATTTTTAATTAGTATAGATTGACCCTAAGATATTTTGGTGCCATATTTTCAGCCACCCCTCTGTGCACATTGGCCCCTTCCTGACCACTCACCTCTAAAAATCCTTTAGTAGCCACTTAGACACCCCTTCATCCATTGTAAGTAAGTTAGATGTACCATCAAGACCTGCAAAATTAGATGGAAGTTGGGGGCTTTTGCAGCATTTTTACTAAAACGATTTCAGTTTTATAAAGTAAGACAGGAAAACATGAATAAAGCAGCAGATAAACTTTCACTTGTCTGATACCTTTGAACAGTTTGATCTCTCTGTAAGCTCTTTGCAAAGCAGGCATTTAGCTCCAGGATCAAAACGAGGACGTGAGGAATTACACTAAATCCTGAGAGCTGTTGTTGTTTAGATACCCTGTAGGTGAATCAAAAGAACATACTAGGCACACTTAGGCTTTTTTTTTTTTTATAATTTTTACATTTTCCACTTTGTTTATATTTGAATATTGTTTAGTTCTTTTTAAAAGGAAAAGGTGGAAAAGTTTTGAAATAATCCATGGTGTTCTCATTTTTTCCCCACAACACAGTAACAAAATGTTTTACTAGGGTGTGTGTCTTTTTAAAATGCAGCCATAAGAAGATATAAAATTCAGCTGCTTTAACTTCAACGATTCAGTTAAAGTGTTAAATCATCTTCAACAGTGAACCAAGGAGTGCTTTTGCCAAAATATCGATGGAATAAATGGAAAGGTACACTGTTGGAGACACATTTTATTGAGACCAATGATGTAAAACAGTAACAAAAGCTAAGCAGAGGACAGCTGTATTAGTTTGTCCTCTCAGTCAAGGGTGTTGAAACCACTTCCATTAGTGGCCCTTGGGCGGATTTTATATGGCCCCCAGGTGGTAAGTGCAGAATGAGACTGTTTATTTTTAATAAGAGCAAAAAATATTACCAACACATTCATATTTTCTTTCAAAATCAGCAGAGTGAAGATATTGATAAGACCAAATCTATAGAGGCTAATATTCAAAAGAGTTAACTCCACATAGATCTGCTTCAATGGATTAAAATAGCTTATACTAGACGTCATATTTAGAAAAATAGTTAATCACATAAAGAGCGGCTGCATTAGTTTTGATAAGGCAACTTTTTAAAACACATTTTGAGTTTTTGTCAGGTTCTGCTGGTTAGATTATGGTTCATTATGTCTTACCACATAAGTTTCTGACCAATTTTGCCATTTGGGGTTTGCCATACAGTTTCCGTTTGCCTACTTTTTGTCAGGTGTTTTCTCTTGCATATTTCTGGTGTTTTCCTTCTTTTTATTAGGTAGCTTCTCATAGTTTCCTCTTAGGGTTTTTCCTCGATTATCGTTTTTTTAGTCAGAACCATCAGGTATTCCATTCCCCTTCGTTTTAAATAGCCGGACCTCATCACTTGACCCCCTTCACCCTAATGTCTATGTCTCCAAGCCTGTTTCCTAACATTATTTCATTTGACTCTCAAACTCACCATGCTGCTTCTTAAAATCTGTCTGCATTTAAGTTGTGAACATCAGAACCTGAAAGTTTTAGATCTACAATGTCTTGCCTGAACTTTTCTTCAAAAAAAAAAAAAAAAATCTGACAGTTGAAATGTTGCATGCTTGGTTTATTTTCAAGCTTACAGAAAATAACATCGGTTCTGATTTTAGTGTCTTTTATCTAAACACTATCAAGGCTCCTATAGCAAAGGTTAATATGATATCTAGTTTAAAAAAAAAGAAGCAGTTTTTGTTTGAAAAAAGGGTCTTTTTGCAGGATATTAAAATCACACTTCTTTACTAACAATTAAAGAAGGCTTAAACTAATCCATTTTGTTCAGTTCCCATTCCCAGGTTTTCAAAGCAAGCAGTTTCCAACCTTTTTCTTTAGAAAAAGGGTTGTATGGAAATCAGCATTGACAAGTTTATAGAGATGAGCTGCTCCTCACCATCACTGAGCTATCTCAGTTGGCAGGAATAATACAAACATCACCTTGTTATCCAAAGCACCCCGATGGATTACTCCACTCAGCCCTTTTTGTACGGACACACACACGCACACAGAAATGAACGCTGTATATTTGCAGTAACCCTATTGTTGTTTTATGCAAACGGTCTGAATGAGGATAGGACGCACAGAGGCATATGCAAATCAGCTTATCAGGCGGCGCAGGGTGCACTGCAGAGGTGAACGCTTCTCCACTTAGGAAAATGCCGATGAGCAGCTGTGGATTTCCAAAAGTTTTTATCCCAACACCTTCATCTGCTTGAATAAAGTGAAGATAGAAAGAGGCTCCAAAACTTTTGACCAAAGGTAAGACCCTCTTTGAGAACCAAGCTTATGGATGCTTATGGTTTGTGCAGCAGTTTGGAGGGGAGGGCACATTAGAATAAACTCAAGATCATTTTCCTGGGTGGCCTGAGTGCCTCATTGTCCCTGTTAAGTTACAATCCAGTAGGAAAATCAGCTATATTTATCATTACAGATATTAAGATGAGCTCAGACCCGGTGGAGCAGTCGGAGGCTCTGGCTGAACAGACAGGTAAGGAAATTTCACCTTCAGCAGAGCTGAATCTGGATACCAACACATAGATGTGAGTCAGGAAAGCTGCTTTGTTTGCTGTGAAACTGCTGGAGTTTCTCCACTAAGCAAGTTTGCTCTCCGCTGTTTACAAATCTGAAAATTAAGGTGTGGGTTTAATCTCTTAAACTGGAGACCTGTGTTTGATATTGAGATGTGAAAACAATATATTTTTTTAGATGATCTGCAAGTGTGTGTTTGACCTTTAGGTGTCTTAGGATCTTTACCTATACGATATTTGCAGCATCGTTGCTGTATTTAATGAGCATGAGGCCTGGTTTGTCACAAAAAGTAGAAACATTTAGGTGCTTTGTGAGATTTTGTGTGCAGACAATTTGGCAGTTGGCTTCTGTTCACGCCTGAAGCTATTTTTCTCAATGACACTGAATGCCCACAGGCTGAGGATGCCAGCCAGCCTGCCACAATGAAAAACCAGGAAGAAGCAGCATAAAAATGTGGAACTTTTATTTAAAACAATGAACCCATGAGAGAAGTGATCTATCTGTTTCGTGGAAGTGATAAATGTCTTTCTGTTTTTGGTTCGTTTAGACCTTTAAATCAAGTCTCTATACAGGTTTTCTATAGAGTGTCTTCCAGACAAAAGCATAACATAGAAATATCTTAGATGATCCAAAACAAACAAAACCACATGTGCCTCCAAGGCGAGACACTACAGATGGGGGTTTTCTTCATGGTTTGGGTGAGGAGTCACTAGAAGGCAAAAAAAAAAAAAACGTTTATCTCAGGTGAATCTCCACCTGCACCTGCTCCCTCCGCAAACTTGCCTCCTAGAAGTTTTGTTTACACACGAGTTGGAGTTGAAGCCACCAGCTGCGTTGATGAACCAGTGTGCAAGAAGTTTACTTCTGAAAATATGCATTTCATCAAGTCCATATCTATAGTGCTTTATAGTGTTTTCCCCTTTTAGATCTCAGATTGTTTATTGTACATGTAGCTGTTTCAGATCTACAGATTTTTTTCTATATTACACAATTCTAAAATATATTTTTTAGATGATGATGTAACATATTAAGAGAGATAAGCTATTCAACCAAACTGGCCCTGTGTGGAAAACAGTAATTGGCCCTAGACATCTTGGCCCATTCTTCCTTGTTGTTTTAATTCATTCAAACTGGAGGCTTTTAGAGCATTAGCAACCTTCTGGGGTCATATCAAAGAATCTCAATTCAGATCAAGCCTGGACCTTGACTACCTCACTTCAAAACCAACATGTTACTCTTTTTTTTTAAAGCTGTTTAGAGGTGAACTCGCTGGCGTGCTCTGCATCATTGTTCTGCTTCACAACCCAAGCCTGATTGACATAAGATAATAAAATGCTAGAATTACGCTCACCTTCTGGATTTATTTATTTATTTATTTTTTTTTTTGGTAGATAGCAGAATTCATTCATTCTAGTAAGTTTTCAAGTTTCTGAAGCAGCTCTGTGTTTGCTTGTTCTGATTTAATGGAAGCCAACCAGAACTTTTAGTCAATTAGCTGAGCTGCCAAACTGAACAGTTTCCAGCTGTTTCAGCTAAAAGCCTATCTGTGGTCGTCCTGACCCTGATGTGTAAGAATTAGCGCAATGAGGCTGTCCTGATGTTCTTTTTCTATAATACAATTGAACTTTATTGATCTTACATTGGAGAAATTTACCTCTGCAGTTAACCCATCCCCTTGGGGAGCACTGGGCTGCCATCGTGGGGCACCTGGGGAGCAATCAGGGGTTAAGGGTCTTGCTCAGAGACTCGGAGTGGAAGTCTGTGGGACTGGGGCTTGAACTCAGAACCTCAGGATTCCAAGCTCTATCCCCTAACCACTAGGCCGCCACTCCCCCAAAAAGCTCAGATTAACTTTACACCAGATTTATGGGATATGCAACTTCCTTAAGAGTTTTCTCTTAAAAGAGTTTCCCTAATGGATGTTTTTTTTTTTTCAAATGTGAGATTGGATCTTATTTTAAATTTTTTAAATTAAAAATAAGTTTCACTACCATTTTAGGCTTGGGAGGCCTGCAGTTATTTAGATGTTGCTTTGTATTTTTTAATGACCTTCTGATTGAGTGATGTTGTTGGCTCTTTTGGAGCAATTTTGGTAGCTTCTGTTTGTGGATAATGAGTTTTCAAAGAAAGCCTTTAATAAAACGATGGATGTCAAAGACTCTCTATTAGGATAAAATCACCACTACATGTTATTAAACAGGTTTAATTTAAATAATGTGATGATTCCACTGCTTTGGCAAGTAAGGGTATCTAAGCCTTTATCAAAAAACATTTTTTTCTTATGAGTTAATTCATGACTTAACAATGTGGATGGTTAGTTTTATACAGAGAGCTGAGTTGGGTGGATAATTTTTCCCCTTTAATAACTTCTGAACAAATCATTTTGAAATTGTTTGTTTATTAATCTGGTTTATCTTTGTTAAATAGATCAAATTTAAATACAGATTTGAATTATCAGACAGTGACAAATCAAAAACAAAGAAGAAATCTGTACGGTGGCAAATTTTCACAGCTGTTAGAATCTAATTCTGGCTTAAAATCATTGCTTTTATTTTTCCTTAGCATGTCTAAACTTGCTCTGAGCGAAATACCTGTTGGACTTTAAGCAGGTTAGCAGTACGACAGTAGGCCACCGGACTGAGGCTCCCTGGAGCAAAGTTAAAACCACCAGTTAACGTGCATGCTTTTGAAATGTGGTAGGAAGTGAAACACCCAGAGAAAACCACCACAGCATGAAAATGGCACGCAAGAAAGAAAAGGGAAAAAAGGGAAAAGTTTTAGTGTCACGCGACGCGACAATGTGTGTTATTCATACCCTTAGACCAGGCGGCTGTGGCTTGTATCCAGAACCATGTGCGAGGCGGGTTTATTCAAATAAAATAACCTGGCAGAGTTAAAGTTCTGCTGATTCAGATCATTCAGGAGAATTTTAAAAGCATGATTTTTCCACCCTGACTTACAAAGCTGGAATCCCATTTCGAGCACTTCGAAATGTCTTGCTACTGAAATATGCTCCGTGAATAAGCTTCCTTTGCCTTGATGGTTACAAACTTAAAGTTAAAGTCTAGTGACCCAACAACAAGTATGTCTTTTTATTTTTAATTTAGGTTGACATTGCACTAGGAATTTTTCAGACAAATTCCAGCTTATTCATCCGACCAAATTTAGCCTAAACAGATAATAAAGCTTGTTTGAGTGGATGTGCTCTCTTCGTCCTCTGACATAGGAGCTGGCTCGGAGCTCGTCTGCCTGGCTGTGTGTTTCCTGGACGGGGCCGCCTTTTACAGCTGCTTTTTGTGTCTCTGCTTCTGTCTCCTTGAACCCCAGTCGGCCTCGGCAGATGGCTGTCACACTGAGCCTGGTTCTGCTGGAGGTTTCTTCCTGTTATAAGGGAGTTTTTCCTCTCCACTGTTGCTACAAGCATGCTTAGTGTGAGGGATTGTATTTCAGTCAATGAGTCGATGCAATCAACTGGTTTTCCTTAGATAGAAAACTTTTTATCAATTTGACTGTATGATCTGGTTGAACTGTAAAGTGCCTTGAGATGACATGTGTTGTGAATTTGGCGCTATATAAATAAACTGAATTGAATTGAATTGACCAAAGAGGGCCACCTGAAAAAATCTTTTTAAATACATTTTTGAAACTGTATCTGTAGATGTCTTTTTTTCTGCAATTTATCCCCCATCTTTTGCATGCTTCACTGAAACTTTTTAAAAACTTTTGTCAAATAAAGTAACCTCTTCTATTCAGTACATTTTCCAAGTGAACCTTTGCATGAGGATCTTTTTTATCCTCAATCATACTGTTGTGATAAAACAGGCATAAAATTCAGACATGGCAACAATATCTGGAAAATAGGGAGTCAAGACTGTGGAGTTGTTCAAACGAACAAATGTCTAAAGCTAAATAGTGTTGGCCGACAATTAAAGTTGGTCTGTGTATAAGAGCTGCTTTAGCTGATTTTTCCTAGTAGGTATAGATAAATTAAAATAACCATTTACATGTATTTGTTTGATTATGTATTAACAAACCTAATTGACTATTTTGATTATAATATTTCATATTTAATAAAAATGTGATATTTCAAATTATTTAATATCCTCAGGTTTATTACAACTTTGTGTTTTTACACAATCGATTTATGAAATAATTGGGTCAGGTTTAGGACCGAAGTGCAGACAGATGTTCTGAGGAAGCACTGTGAGTTTAAGAATAACAGAGAAAACAGGGAAGAACAAATTGAGGAGTCACAGGTGAACTGAATTTTCCTATTAAAGGAATGCTCTGGCTGAGGGACAAATGATTGAGCATAGATAAACAGGTAAAAACCCACAGAAGAAACAAAGAGAATGTATCCAAATATATATAGTAATTATGTCAAGAAAAAAAATGAATACAAAAAAAACTAAGAAATATACAAGAGAAGTAGAAAGCACCTAGCAAAAAAAAAAAACAACAACAAGAAAACAGAACTAGTATGGCAAAAATAACAGTATTTGGGAATTTATAATGGACCAAACAAATTACCGTAAACCTGCACGACCTGACAACTAATAGATAAAATCCAAAAAAATTTTTTTATTGTTATTGCGTAAACATACGATAATCTGATTACAGAAACATTAACTCCCTTACAATGAGGAAAAGTAAAAATTGCTTCAATTTAGAAGTAACTGAATCTAATTTATCACATGGCTTAAATACCCTGGATATGTTTAATCATTTCTAAGGACCTTAATTTGGTTTAATGGAAATAGAAGCCAAAAAAGCCCCTTATTTTATATTGCTCCTATTTTAATATGGAAAAAGGAGGTTTGATCAAGCAATTAATAAACACACAATACACATTAAAGATGCTTTTTTTTTAGGACCTAATAGGGTAAATATGGAGATATTGAAGAATATTTACCAGCCTAAAATTGTGATTACCAATAATAAGAAGCTGGATTACTGTAA